GAATTACGAAGACGCGAAGAGGCTGGCCAACGACGTGACATCGTCCAAGGAGAAGCTGAATAAGCTGGTGAGCAGGCTTCAGAAAAAAATGATTCTTGTTACCAGGGAGAGGGACAGCTACAGGCAACAGTTGGACTGGTACGAGAAAGAGCTGACGATGGACGGTAACAATGCGATGGCCGAGAGAATACCGGCTCTGGAACGCGCTATAGACGGTTACAGGTATGTGCGATATTTTAGGCTTCCGCGACACAGGGAGATGCTTAAATCGGCTGTTGAGCTAGTGCTGCGTCTTTCATGAATCTGTTTCCGGCATTGTTCCGTAAACATTTCAGCACTAACTCGTACGCCAGCAGGTCTGTTCTTTTTAGCTTTACTAATTTGGCGCTCTCTTCCTTTGGAGTGAATTCAATGTATGCAATCGGGCATTGAGAAGACAAAAAGGAATAACGTTACAGTGCAGCGCTAATCTATCTAAGAACAGGCCTACTTTAAGTAGATTATATGCCAGTTGAGGGGTTTTTCATTGAATCGCGAAAGAGAATATATTCCATGTTGCCTTTGCAGGGAGTTGGTCAGCAAATTGGAAGCGGATCTCCAAGCGGCCGAGGACGTTGCTCAGAGGAACGAATGCAATAGACTCAGAGAGGAAATCGAGCAGTTGAAAGGCGAGCTCGAGCATCGCTCGCTGAAGGGCGACTTCAACAGCAACGCTCGAGTGTTGCACTACACGATGAATCCCGCGGCGATAGCGGAGAAACAAGCCGAGGAGAAGCAGGCGGCTCTGTTGCAAGAGTTGGAAGAGCTCCGAGGCAAGGTGACAACGGGAAATTTTGGGACAACCACGTCGTCGTTACACGCACAAGGTAAACAGACCGTCCCTCTTTCTCTCCTCCTCTTTCTCTTTCCCTAGTCGTTCGGTTTTTCTCATCCTCCGACGATCTTATCCCTTTATTTATTTTCACCATAGAAATCGCGGAGCTGAAGCAAACGCACGAGATAAAGATAGCGCGTTTGAAGGAGGCGTTCAAGGCATCGTCGCAAGAGTATCGCCAAGCGTGTTATCAGTTCTTCGGTTGGAGAGTGGACCGCTCGAAAGAAGGCTGTTACAAACTGATGAGCCAGTACGCGGAATCCCCTGAAGATTTTCTTTCCTTTCACGTAGGAGAAGAGGGTGTCGACCTGTTGCAAACTCCATACTCCACGAACCTGAACAGTCTGATCGAGCAATATCTGCAAAAACAGCACAGTGTACCGATGTTCCTCAACGCTTTGCAGTCCGACCTCTTCAATCATCAAACTGTGACAAATATCGTGACGTAATTTCGTTCCGCGTTTCGAATAAGATTAGCTTTTTCCATTAGGTCGACTTATAGATCTCTCGGCCTGGTGTGTACGATAATGCCGTATCATCCGTTTCGCCACACATGCGTCCATCTTCTTGTATCTATATAAATCTCGATATTTTTCTTCATACGCGGGAGAAAAAAATGATATTTGCCGTTTTATTAATACGACTCGTGATTAATTTGACGTAGTCTGTAAATGTTAATAATCGTACGCAGTAATAATGATAATGATCGTTTGCAGTAAAAATTTGTTCGAACGCGTAATTTTCGCGATCGGTACGTAGACCTATTCTATCCTGCGTCGATAAGGGATATTCCGTATTACCTATTGTTACGAAGGTCGTCTGCAATTCAACGTGCATCATTACGTTTTACCGTCGTATTTCATATTTTACTAACGATTACGTTAGAGCTTTGCGACAAAATTGGATTTTTTAATATAATTTTGTAATAAAGATATTAATCATATAGCAAGCCGTGTTGTACGTAATGAGCGTCCTAAAGCAATCACAGGCTGTCCCGAGAGAATTCGAAGAAACTGAAAATATAGACTTGGAAAACTTTCCGTATTCTGGCGGAACTTTTTCATCAATTAAAAGTAACGCCGAAACACAAAGTTTACAATCCTTAAATTAAGTTAATACAAGTTCGAAACAAAGCTTCGCGTTTGAGATAATTCCTGAAAAATCTTCAACAAATGTGCGATCGAACGAGAACGCGTTAAAGATAAACTCCGTCTGTCTTCCTTTATTATTTTTTAATTCATTAATTAAGAGAAAATTGTAGATATTTTGAAGCAAAATTATCGTGACTCGATCATCGCCTGAAACTCTGGCTTCCCTGGTTTCATCGGCTCCTACGTGAATCCACCACCCATCTCCCTCATCGCTATCGAAGTATCGTACAGCACCCTGATGACGCCCCCTCGTCCCCGATTCCACGATCTACGTTAAGGAAACTCGCGGAACTCTTATCGCGCGTAAAAATCCTGTGAGAGGACGTCGAAGTTGAAAATCGCGTCGAGCCATCGGCGGCCGTCCCCGTGGGAGACGTTACCACTCGGCCGCGCTCGTACGTGCCCAGAAAAGGGGAGGCCCGTCCCAGAAGAGCGATTTCCATTGCTTTGTTCGGCGAAGGAGCTGCGACGGTGGTCTTCATTAGTGACTAAGCCACTATATGGAACCTCCGCCCACTATATGTGAACAAATGTGCACCTATACGCTCCCAAAATTTAGCATCATGTGTCTCTGTATGTGTGTATGTGTGCATCTGGGTGACCAAAAGCATTTCGTGATAACGAAGAGAGGGAGAGAGAGAGAAGGAGATCACGGACACGTCTGCGCTGCTGACGACGGGAACTCGATATAACGGTGCCAGCTGCGAAGGGACTCGAGTCGACGGGAACTCCCGAGCTGAAACTCCATTATCCTTAATTATAATCGCGTTTAATCGCAAACTCATCCCGGTCTCCCTCGCATACGTGCCGCCCTCGCGCCTCGCTGATCCTCCTTCGTCCTCGTCTACCTTGCGTCTCCTCTTTGCGTCCCGCGCAGCGGCCGCAGCCGGTTATCAATCCGGAATCAGCGCGAGGGTGTTTCTCCACGACGGGGATGAAGCTCCAGGACGGGCCTGGCGAAGAAGATTATCCGTTACCGCGCCGGCAGGGCGAGCGAGTAAGAGAGAGAGAGAGAGAGAGAAAGGGGGTTTGCGCTATCCTTTCCTGCTCGTGGCACGTACAAAGTGGCCCGGGTGTGTATATCGACGGCGAGAGGCGGTTTAAGTGCCACGGGAGAGCGAGGGAGTGAGTGCCACCGGGAAATATCGACGTCGAGAGGCCCGCGTGCAGGTGTATGATTAATGCCGCGGCGCCGCAACGAGCGAGCGAGCGAGCGAGCGCTGCAGAGATATCGCGTGCGGGAATTGATTCTAATGAGATCTCACGCGAGAGAACCATCCGCCGGTGATCATTGCCACCGTGAAACGCGCTCTCTCGCTTTGATCTCGCCCGGAGCCAACTTTGATCAGACACTGCGTTATTTACGTGAGAACGCCAGCATACAGTCGCGGTTTTAGAAACTCGCGCGCTCGGCAGCCGGCTGGGTTGGTATGTAGGCGATGCGCACGATGGCTTTCTGAATGGAACGTCTATTTCTTCAAGTTGTTCGAGCGGATGATCAATTCTCTCGATCCAGCGGGATCAAAGCGGGGGAACTCGGATGCGTCCTGCGCCCATCCCCCCCTCTCGCGATCGCTGCGCGAATATATCCTATTCTTCTCGCTTGAATTCGTTCGGAAAATAATGGATTGTAAAAATCGCACATGTCGGGGTGCTCGAAGGAACCGTGCAAATCGTTCCCCGTTGTCCCTCTCCAAGAGAAATCCCCCTCCGCTGTCAGTCGCGTCCAAGTCTCTTCCCGATCCTTTCTCGCTCGATTCTCAGTCTCCGGTTAACAGAGACGAGGATCTTCACGCTCTCCTGAGAATCTCGTTCACACGTCGCCTCCTTACCCTAGCGGTAGATCACCCTCGCGTAGATCTCGCGCGGAGGAGCATCCGGGCCTTCGCGGACAGCATCCTCTCGCGGATTCTCTCGCGAGGTCATTGCTCGGTCACGTAAAAAGACACGTACGTGGCTGTGGTCGGGACGCAGTGGCACCGTGGAGAAAGATAATCAATCGGGACGCAGGGTAAACCGGTATCTTATCAAAGTTGGCCCATCTTCGCGAAACTTACTCGCGTCCTCTCGTCTTCCAGGTCGTCGGAGGGTGACGAGTCGACGTGAGCGCGAGCGCGAACTTTCGCCCGCGAGAGGAGAGGCCAGGTGATGTGCGATGCGCGAGAGGCGCGTAATAGAAATCGAGGGGCAGAGAGAGGAAGAGAGAGACACGCAGTAAGAGTGAGACGACGTGTGTGTCTATGTGCGTGTGTGTGTGTGTGTGTGTGTGTATGAGAGAAAGAGAGAGAGAGAGAGAGAGAATCGGGAGTATATGGGGGAGAGAAAGACGAGAGAACTGTCGGGGGCGTGGAAGAAGGGTGATGCTGGTAGACTCCGTGCTAACTTTCGCGTCCGTGTGCTCGCGGCACCGCCAGAAGGAACTTTGTCGATCAGAGTTGCGAAGGAGATTCCCGGTTATGTCGGCAGTACCACCCTGTAGATATCTCTAGAGGAACGGGCGCGGACCTCGGCGAAAGGGGTGAATGCGTCAGCGGGATAATATGGAGAGAAAGAGATGGTGAATAAGAGAGAGAGAGAGAGAGAGAGGAGGGGAAGAACAGAAACAGAGAGGGTAGAAGGGAGGTGGACTGTGCCGCGGGTTATCTTCTTCGTCGGGATCATTCCCCGCGATTCGATTGTCTCCGCCGATACGATTTATTTCGTAAAATAATCGGAAAGAAATAGTGCATGGAGACTTCATTGATAGGTCTGAGTGTGTAAATAAACCCGGTTTATGCGACGATCGTTGATAATTTTTGCTGCGACGTATGGCGACGTCAAGCCCGCGATTCAAATCCGATCGATGAGGCGCGACGATCCGGTAATTAATTCGCGCAACGACGTTATCGTCGTTGGAAGAAAGATCGGGACGGGAAGTAAACCCGAAAGGGTGGCTACTCGGTAAATTAATCTCCACGTGTGAAAGAATAAGGGAGAAACGCGCGCGCGAGAGAGAGAGAGAGAGAGAGAGAGCAAGTGACATTTAATAAATATCGAGGGAAACTATGTTCGTTGTAATTGAGCGCGTCGTCATAATTCATCCTTCTGGCATGCTTAGGGGTACACGGAGCTTTTTATAGCGACGGGGTAGGACTTTCAGCATCGCGCGCGCGATGCTGAAGAACTTCGAGATGATCGCTTAAGACTCGGCGAGGAAGCCGAGTCGGAGGATACGAGCGCGAAGTAGGTCAGAGAAGGATAATTATCTATTTCTCGGCTCTATTACACCTAAAGTACTGGCTAAAGAGGAAAAAGCTAGTAAGGAGCAGGGTCGGGGCGGGCACGGGGAAGGCAGCAAATCACTTTAATTTTCAAAATCATTATAGCCATAACCGGGCGAACTTTTCAGCTGCGCTCGCGTGTGCTCTTGAGCAACGGTGCGAACTGCGCGCGGGAGACCATTTTCTCTCGCTATTATAATATGTAAACTTAGCCAGCGCGTCGGTATTTCCGCCGCAACGCGAGCTTTGATTTCGCACTGATGAAAGTTTCATACACGCGACGATGCAATTGGATATCGCGACTCACGGTTTCAGATCTGTACAACCCTTTCATTGGGATTTGTTAAATCGCAACAACAACCGCGACAGCGGAAATTTCTAAAAGATATCTTAATGGGCTGCATGCAGCTGAGCGGCTCGAAGAAACGCCTAATGTTTGAATTACTCTGCTGATCACATTATTGACGTTCATAAAGACGTCCTTTTGAGGGATGATGTTTCAACATTTTTATTCGCATGTCACACGAAGCCCGTTATAAAAAGTTAATAGGTAACGCTATGTATGCAAACCTTTAAAGATATCCAAAAGATGTCTTATATTTTTTTAGATATCTTTATGTGACGTCTTAAAGACGTCTTTTAGAAAATTGGGAATGTTACCGTCGCTAGTGACCATTGCAATTAACGCGACGTTAAGACTAAGAAGTAAAAAGAAAAAACGAAAAAAGAAAAACTAAACCTCTTTGATTCCACGAGCATGAATATTCTTCTCGAGGAACGAATTTAATTTTCGGTGCTTCGACGAGTCCGCGAAACCACGATTGATCACTCACGATCGTCGTCGAATAGGAGGAGCCGCGCGCGGGTGGTAAAGTTTCACCGGCGCGAATTACGCTTCATTCATCCTTTCGTCTGTCCCTCGACTGTCCGCGGGGTAAGGTTAACGTGCACGAAGGGTACGTCGTAACGAAGAAATATCAACGCCGACGGCGGCGAATGAATACGAATCCGCGCTTTAAATCTTGCGCACGGGCATACGACGACGATGACGGTGACAACGACGACGAGGTCAGGGACCGAAATAAAAGCCGGCGCTCGGTTGGCGCGTGGGGGATGGTCAGAGGGTTGTAATTATCTGTTTCTCGGCTCCATTACACCTGAAGGACGAGGCGGACACACCGGCGAGAAGTGAGCGGCGGGGGCCGCGCGGGTGGCGAACGTGACGGGAAATAAGAACGGGCCGAGTGGCAGCCGGAAATTACAGAGTCTACAAGCAGCAAGCACTGACAGTGAAACTGACAATATGTACGGAAGACACGGGGGAATAGCTGGCGGAAAAGAAGTTTCGTTGACTACTCCTGGACGATTGTTCGGACATCCTCGCGCCGACGGTGGACGACAATCGATACTTTCTGCCGTGGCGAACTCGTCCGGTCCTACCGGTAAGAGAGAAAGAGTGACAGACAGAGAGACAGAAAGAGAGAGAGAGAGAGAGAGAGAGAGAGAACCTGGTCGGGGGTTATCGATTTTCATCGCGGCTAGGGACTGCGTTGAAAATAGTCAATCATATTAGTCATCGACGTATAAATAGCCATTCGTTGTCGGTAAATCTGGAAAGTGTACGCGAAAAATACACACGTCGCGTGTATACGCTTAGATACTCGTGCACATTTAGCGACACGCAAAATATTTGCATACTTAATTATCTTTATATAACACTCTTATGTCATTCTTACGTTATATCATCATTATTACACTATTTCATATCAATCATTTTTTAATATTTTTTACTCGCTCTTACCTTCCCTCTCACTCTTTCCCATCTTTCTCCCTTTCTCCTCTTTATATTATGTAAATGTTCGATAATTTGTTTTACGTCGCTCATGTTAGATAAATGTGCGACACCGCAACGGCGGTAACGACGAGAAACGTACTTTCAAGGTACAATCGCGCATCGGACGGACGTGTGCGCTCATCGTTGCCGCGAGAGTACCTCACGCTTCTTCGTCGACCAGCGAGAAACTTCCGTTGCGGGTGTCTAACATCCGACAGATAATTTTCTGCGGACAATTCGGCCGCATCGTCGTCGTCGCTACGGCGAGGACGAGACGCGCGAGACGCGGAAACGATAGTTGGCTCGCTGGCAAGCTCCAATCTCCGGATGCCCTCTCAAGCACACCTCCATCAGGAGAGACGGCCAGCGCAACGTGCCTCTCTTCGACCCGATCGTTTCGCGAGTGTCCTCGGTAAGGGCGAATCTGCCCCTAACGACGTCGACTTCCTTTTTTGCAGCACGATGCCGAACAATTCTCTCCCTCTCTCTCTCTCTCTCTCTTTGTTCCTGCCTCCCTCTCTTCTTAAATGGCGAAAAACGGGTGGGAGGTCCCTTTGATGAATCGGCCCCGAACTGCGTCCGGCATACGTAAACTCCCGGCGGGAATCACAATCGGGATGAACGATGCCGTCCGGTAACGCGGAGAAACGAGAAGAATGGCGAGAAGGTCGCGACGATGGACGAACGGACGGCAGAACGGGGCGCAGGAAACACTTGGAAGCGATTACGGGGAAAACTCGGAGCCGCTGGATATATCCAGTATAGGAAATTAACCCTCCCTTCCTCCTTCGTTCCCTCGCGCCCGTCTCGGCCCTTCCCGTTACACGTTCTCCGCTTTCCACCGTCGGAGAAAGAGGAGGGAAACGAGCCGGGTGACGAGCTGCAGGTGAACGCACTACTGTGTGTATACTAAGATGGCAATTAGTTAGACAGCTAAGCAACTCGAACGCTAAAATCGCAGCGCTAAATTAATTCCTAATTAGCGCTTAATTCTGCTGTACTTACATTTTTTACTTACATTCTTTACTTACATTTTTTTTTCGTTTGTACTTACATTTTTTATGTTGCGGATGCTAGTTTAATAGAGATGGCTCGTAATGCCCGATTTCCAGTGGCGATATCAAGGGGATCCTTCATAAGTTTATTATCCGCTGAAACAAATATTTTCCTATAACTTTATTTAATTATCTGAGTAATGAATGTTAATTTTGAGCAAAATCATGAGAAATACATACATACAATATTACAAATACATAGACATTATTTATTTTTCATTTTTTCTAATCAATGCTTTATTTATACGTTTAATTAACAGAGGTGTACACATAATAGAAAATGGCATGTAAATATTTAAATATGCGTATATATAATAGATATAAATCCTCAACAGCTACATTTACAAAATAAAATAATCAATAATCTGAAATTTTTATATAATATTTCTATATTAGTCCTCAATATCGTATAGTTTCCCATAAAAATTCTAAATGTAGTTTATAAAAAATAAAAAAAGAGATAAAAATAGGACATTAATCTGAAGAAACGCGTATAAAAAGTATCTCCATCGATATGCAGATAAAATTAAAAAGGATACCTAAGAAAATGGTTTTACGGACCAACTACCTTGAGAGGTGGTGGACATCAGTGAACGTTTACGATTATTTCCGCGGGGTTTTCCGTCTTTTTTCGAAATAGGAATGCGACAATAGGACTTTTTCAGCGCCGCGCGTTATCAAGACTTTTTCACGTATTGATATAAATTGCGGGTGGCGATACAAATCGATATAAATTTCATCGAACGTCTCACTAGATCTCTTAAATTGATATGATTCTCGCGATATCGCCCGGTATCGGTGCACTCGGCGGACAGGGCGATACCTCTTCGATGGGAGGACCGGCGGCTCCCGGCCACCGCGATTGATCATCGTTCGTCGCTCTTTTAATAACAACGTTCGACCGATCGCCCGTAATTTCGCACGCGTCGTAAATCAAATTACGTCCCGACGTTGTCGTTGACTTAGCGCACGGGGGAGTGTGCGCGGCAGCATCACCGTGGAATCGAGTCGTCGGTAAACGACGACGGCGACGGGATGTTCGCGTTCCGCCAGCGAAGAAATTAGCGTCTGCCAACGGGAAACTTCATTTAGGTGACTCATCGCGCGCGTGAACAGCGCGCGCGCGCGCGCGTGCACGATTGTGTTTCACGCGATGGGGCGTGCGATGATTGATTAAAAAGTTGCTGATAGGCGGCGGGGCGCGTTATCGAGGCGACTGAAAGGCGTACCGGCGAGGTGCGCGCGCCCGCGATCGCGAAATATTAACGACGCGCGTTTCCGCCGAAGTTGCATGATTAAAGCCCTTAAAGACACTCCGCAGGAAGACAATCGCGTGCTAAGCGATCCTTATAGCCCCGTATATCCTTGCATCCCTCCGTCTCGTGCCTCCGCGCCCACTTTTCGCCGCGGAACTTCGTGCCGCCGTTTCGCCACCTCTCCCCCCTTCGCTCGCCCGGCAGGCCTGCGCGACCGGGAAGTTGAAAGGTGTCTTGCAGTCGATAGTTACACCACGCAATCACTTAGGGTGGATTCACGGCGGATGAGCAGGCACCCCCGGGGCGCCGGTTTTACCCCCGAATGAAGAAATTGACAGGATGTAGGGGGCGAACGGAGCGAGTTCACCGGCAAAGATCGGCCTGTTTGGGCGCGCGTGAAAAATGACGCTGCGAATTTGTCGCGTCTCCGTGACATCGAGCGCGCCTCGGGAACTGATGGATATCAACTTCGACATTAATATTCTCCTGTCTATATAGAATCTACGGTATTCGCGTGCTATCCCTTTTCCCTCCGTCTCGTTGTCTCGCGACACTCGAGTAGCGGTTGCATAAATCCCGTTTTAATCAGTCTTACTTCTACTCGAAGAGGAATTATAATCAGGGGAGTTAGCTGACGCCGTAAATTTCTCACTTTGCCGCTCTTTGGGATGATCGTACTTTTTCTCGTTATACATACACTCTCTCTCTCTCTCTCTCTCTCTCTTTTCCCCTTCCTCCCTCCCTCTCTCTCTCTTTTTGCATCCTCCGGGAATTACGCTATTAATTAAGATAATAATATCGGGGAGCGCATCCTCTTCCCTCCGTCGTTCCTATATAATTTCCAAGATCCAGGTCGTAACGTAGTCATCAAATATTTTGCTGCGGCAGACGCGGCCGCCGTATAAGAGACACCGCTCTCAGGGCCGTAACGTATGCGAGCGTTCACTGAAATATTATTCAGTAGTCGTGTCTCGGGGTGTGGCGCGGGACCTCGAAAAATGGCCCCCGAGAATTTCTGATGCGGACGGCTTTTAGGGCCAACGGGCGCGCACTCTGCGTAAAGAGGAGGAAGACTAGAAAAAGAAAGAAAGAGGGAGAGAAAGAGAGAGAGAGAGAGAGAACAAGCGCGCGTCGCGCGCCGCGAAAATACGTTTGAGAATGTAAGACGTTTTTGAACACGTGAGAGCGTCATTAAAGTGTAACGCGAACAACAATGCCGAGCGGTAACGCCGAACTGGGGTGCGAAATTTTAATGGCCGCGCTTTCAGATCCTCCACCGCCGCCGTCTTCTCGGCGGGCTGCTCCGCGAACGGACGGATACAATGAAGCTCGAGCCGTAAAGATGCACTTCTAATAAATATAAATAAATGATCCCGACGAGAGTCGACGCGGACGCGTGCCCTTCAGTATTCCCTGAACGTTGCCCGCGCGAAGTAGGTCGGCGGGATAAAAATATAAGACACCGCGACATTTTACAGGTAGACGATCGTCGAGAAATACAAAGAGACGCCGACCGACCGACCGGCCGACAGATGGTTAATTGATTCTCGTATCTCGTCAAGTAAAGTAATTATACATATATATTTCAGAGAGACAGAAAGCGGAATATACTTTCAAACACACACGCAGAACCTATTAATCCTGTTCCAGCCTCGGTAATTCCATCAACATAGTGCGGAAGGGTAAACTGATCGATCATCAGTCTGTCTACCTTAGCTACCTGCATCAGTGCCCGGCCATTCTGGAGATATAATCTAATAAATATAAATAAATAATCGGACAAGTAGACGAGAACCTTTCAGGACCTCTCGAACGTCTCCGACGTAAAAGCGGGCGGTCGGATAAGAGGGTGCTTTTAAGGATATAAAATACAGCGACACGTACATCTGGGCAGCAGGCAGCGCGTGCGACCCAGCTCGCGCGCCGTTTACCGTCTAGAATGTTACTCTTCTTCCCGGGAGATTCGTAAGGTCCTCGTAAAAGGCTCGTAGGATCGATCGACGGTATACGCTCGATCGCTCGTATATCGCGGATATATACGTCCCGCTTTCTTATTAAGCTCGCGCGCTTATGCACGTATCGGGTGTCTATGTGTACATGTGTGTGCGTGCGTGTGTGCACACGGGGGAGGTGTACGTAAATATGTACCGGAGGGCGGCACTTACCGGCTAGTCGTAGAACGACGAAGAAAAAGGGCCGGTAACCGGGGATATCGGCAGCGGCGGGACCCGAGTTACGCGAGCGGACCGTTAACACAGAGTCTCGTTAGTGCACTCGCGTGAGCCAGCCAACGCGCTCCGAGCCGACAAAACCTCTCGTAATTCTCGGGCCGGCGCGCGACGGAGCGACTCGAGAAGCGGACTTACCGGATAAGTCGAAAACGCCGCCGCACCACCGCCGTAATTGACCCGTTTAATTCCGGAATTACGTCGTCCTCGCGAGGTCGGGTCTCGCGCGCGCGCGCGAGTCGCCGAAACTCGTCCCGAAACTCGCAGTAGAGGAGAGAGGAAAAGAGGGAGAGAGAGAGAGAGAGAGATATAGTAGTAATTACTATTAATTACAGGCGAGAGGAAAAATCATTTCCACGTAACTGGATATATCGCCGAGAGGTGAGAGAAAACGGCCGCGAATCGGAGCACGCAACAATAGCGGTAGTGGTTTCGGTTCGTTTTTCGCGTATTTAATTACCGACCGCGAGATACGCACCCTCCGATATATTCTCGCCCGAAATTCAAGAGCGCGATACGCTCGTCGGATCGAGAGAGAGAGAGAAAGAGAAAGAGAGAGAGAGAGACTCGCGATACTCGACTTTTCCCTTCGACTTCCCTTTCGGACGGGAGGTGCTCGCGGGCAGCGCTCGCCATTCACGCTAAATTAAGCACCGGCGAGCGGGTGGCAGGGAGGAAGGAGGGGGAGGGAGGGGAAAAAATTAATCCCCCGGTGGCGGAGATCAGGAGAGTCGATATGCTTTTTCACGGGTCAGGTCGTCCAAACGGGGCACGAAATGGGGGCGGTTGAGGCTTGGGGTGGGTGACCTGACCCG